ATTGATTTGGTTTCACATGAAACTTCCTCAAGAGGAAATGTAAAATTTCAAAAGGAAACAATGATCTAATGTTTTAACATGTGAAAAACAAAGAGTAGGTCTGTTGTGTTGTTGTTAGGTACCATTGAGTCAATGCAGATGCAGAGAGACACTAGGTATGGTGGAAAAAAAGCCCTGCCGATCTTGGGCCATCCTCAGTGGTTGCTAAGGTTGAGCCATTGTTGCAGCCACAGTACAGCTATAAAAAAGGCTTTAAGGAAAAATCTGGAAAAAAGAGTTATGAACTTTTTTGTACAACAGAAATCTAAAACAATAAACGGGGTTGCTTTACTTCACCATTGCTTTTCCTAACCTTTGACCACACACCCTGGGATGAGAACTGAAAGTTTGCTTTTGGAACGATGTCACTACTTTAGAAACTTTAGAAAAGGCGAGATAACCAAATGTTTATATTTCTAAAAAGTATTCCAATAAAAATACCAAAGACAAGTAAAGTACTATTAAAAAGTAAGTAAGATTCATAGCAACTTATAACAGTATATCACTTCCCGGTGGGATTTCCCAGGCTATTAATCTTTATGAAAGGAGACAGACATATCTTTCTCTCACAGTATAGCTAGTGGGTTCAAACCTCTAAACTGCTAGCCTTATCTGGGTTAGCAGATAAGCAGTTAACCACTCTGCCATTAGAACTCCTCTGTAAATAGATTGTTGTTCTTGTTGTTGTTAGGTGTCATCGAATCAGCTACAACTCATAGTGATCTATGTACTACAGAATGAAACACCACTCAGCCCTGTCCCATCCCACAATTATTCTTGTATTTGAGTCCATTGTTGCAGCCACTGTGTCAAGCCATCTTGTCAATTAGGCATTGTTAAAATCAAGATTTGCCTGGGGGGAAAACCAGATAATCCATCTACAACTAACATTTGTTGGCATTCACTTTTTAAAAACCCATATAAATCTGCATTTAATGCTTTACTGAAAGTAGCTTCCTTTGTCAGGCATGCCCCGCAAAATTGACAATACATTTGGTTTCCAATAGGATAAAAATAATACTGCAACTTTCTGCTATTAAAAAAAAAAAAAGAAATTTCATCCCTTAGTTGATCACTAGTCAAAGTCATTAAAACAAAATATTTTACATGTGAAACAGATAAGGGCTGTTTATTATAGTCTCTTAATTCTTAACTGCAAGTATAGTTTGGGAATCTGCCACTTCAGCAATTGGAGGTCCTTCCTATGCATGTGAAGCCCTGGGATAGCTGCCTAGCTAATACGCCACTGATTTTGCCATCCACTTCTGATGTCTGATTCTGTTTCAGGTGACTTGGGACTAAAGCAGACTGCAGCTGATTTGGTAAAGATTCTGATTGGGAGGATCTCAGGAAGGTGGCCACAGGCTAGGCTTTGCCAGTCTTCTGACCTCCCAGGGATGTATGATAAAATGAGCATCAGAACTTCTTTCACACAATACAAGCAGTCTCCAAATTATGAACGAGATCAGTTTCTTTAAGTGGAATTTGTAAGTAAATTGGAACCAGCATATGTGGTTGTAATTTAGTTTTTCGTGCTGCAAGAAAAGGCTTGAAGCCTTTTCAAAGATTTAAAAGCTGCACATGTAGCAAGTGAAGGTAATTGTGAGGAAAATTTGGGGGTGGGGTGGGGAATGGAGGTTGGTTCTATCATTTCAAAATGAGAGAAGATTTTTATAGTATTAAAGGGAATGTACAAGTTGCCCATAAGTCAGATTGTAACCTGGAAAATTAGGATATTCTGAATTCAGCTTACACTGTGATTGATTTGTTTTTGTTCTCTTATTGTGGGGGGGAGAGATCCTGGCATAAGAGATTTAATTTGCAAGCAAATGCAGAAAAATGATAGCAGAAATGAAAAGGGAAAATGAAAACCCCCACAACATTGAGAGAACGCAGGGAAGAGAGGAAAGATAATTGCAACATAATATCAAGTGGATTTCTGGTTACTGAATGGTTTTGATGGATAAATTTAATCTGTCAACATACTTTATAGAAAGTGCTAATCAATGATGATAAGTGCAACTTTTGTGATATGGGGAGGGGGATGTCAGGAAGGGGACACCCAAAATAAACCAGAATTGAGCTGGGAGGCGCATTTGTAGTAAACATTTTTCCCTCTAGTCAAGCATCGAGCATTGCCTGGGAAGGTTCTCTCTGGTCACAGTGAATTTTTTCATAAAAATGGTTTTGCTCATTCTTTTGTGTGAGGGCTGATCTAAGAGAACAGTGTGCGGCTGTGAAATTTTGTTTCCTGCTCAAGAAAAATGTCACAGAAACTGTTGTGATGCTGAACACAGTTTACAAAAGGACAGCGTTATGGGAAAACCTCAAGTGTATGAGTGGTTTTCTTATTTCAAAAAGATGAAATGTTGATTGAAGACAAACCTCATTCTGGATGTCCATCAACTTCCTGAATGGACAAAAATGTCGATTTGTAGTGCATTTAGAGTTCATTCCACCAGATCCAACTGTTAATCAAGCTTTCTATTTAGAGGTTCTGAAATGATTGCATAACAGTATGTTACAAAAAAGGCCTGATTAGTGGCAGACAGGGACTGATTTTGCCATCCCGACAATGCATCTGGTAATGCAGCCATCCCAGTGTGCCAGTTTTGGCAAAAAAAAAAAAAAAAGCATGCTTCTCTTACCCATGTACCTTACTCACCTGACCTCACTCCATGCAACTTATTTTTGTTTCTACAAATGAAGAGGGACATATAAGGACAGTGATTTGAAGACATAGTGAAGAAAAAAATTAGGAAGGTGCTATCAGCCATCCTAACACATGAGTTTGAAAAATATTTCTAAGAATGGAATCAAAGATTTGACAAAAGTAGTAAGTATAATGGAGAGTATTTTGAAGGTGATAAGTTTGTTTTATTAAAAACAATTTAAACTTATAGCTTTGAAAAAAATTTTCCCCCAATTTTTGGGGGTGCCTCCTCCTAAGTTAAAAAATAAATTGACTATATTTAAATAATTATTGCTCACTAAAAAGGCCACAAAGATGGTAGAAGATAGGTAGTAAGGAAATCAAGAATGAGACAAGAGAAAGTTTAACCTCAAAGAGAAAATGCTTTTATTTTTTAAGAGAAGATTGCCTTTTTCTGATAGTCATAGTAACACTAACAAATTTTAAATTACCATGGGCCTTTATGAACTTGAGTCTTTTTTAGGTTGAAACTCATTTTCTTTTTTAAAAGGTAAAAGACCTCTGGGCTTTGTCTTGTGACTTTTCATTTGATTGTCAGAAGAAGACTACTTAGTCCTCTAGCTACATCACAATCAAAGTGGATGGAAATAGGCAAATGGAACCGAACACAAGTTAGGGCTCAGTCAAAAAAATAGGAAAATCACACTGAAACAAAAACTATGTTAAAAAAAACCAGGGAGTAGGACAATGTCACATGAAAATAAAGACCGAGATATAATAAAAGTAACAAACACAGCCCATTAAAGAGACTCAGAATCAAGGAAAGAAAGCAATCAAGAAAAAAGAAGATAGGAAATAAAGTATATTTAGCTCTAAACATGAAAATTTAAAAATACATGAAAAAATAATTGGAATAGAATACCTTTTTGAAATGGAAAAATGGTATTAAAATTTTCTAAAGGAAATAACTTTATTTAAATAAGCATTATACTAGAATGCCCCGTACCCTAGATGCCAAATCAAAACAAAACCAACCTCACTGTCATTGAATCAATTTGGATTCACAGTGACTTTTTTATAAAAGAACATTTGACAATTCTTCTTAACCAATTTTTCTATTGTCTTACTGGAAAGTACATTCACAAGTGACTAATACCTTTACAATGTAGCTATAAGGTATTCACTAAAAATAATATCTGGTCAGTACAATGTATATAGAATTTCCTATCTGGTAATATGCTCCGAAGAATTAGGAAAAAAATTATCAATGAGTTGAAATTAATGGTTTCACTTAATGATACCAAAGATGGCAAAGGGTAGTGTGAAAAATAAGCAAAAAATTCACACTGTTCTAAACAAGAACTATAAACTAGCATGTCTATAAATAGATTAAGATAATCTCTAACCTATGAATATTTTCTTTTGAGTCTCTAAATTTCCATTAAATATAGGTGATGGAATCTCATTTTTAGTTGGCTAATAGTTTATCAATTTCTGACATTTTTTAAGTTCTTTCACTTTCTAATACAGAAAAAAAAGAAACAAAACAGGAAAAATGCTCATCTCCTCTACTTTATACTCCTGAGAGGTGTTGTGAAATAATTTGGCTAAGAGTTCTTACTGTGACATTAGATCCAGTTGGGTTCAAATGATGCCTCCTTTACTTCCTAGCTATGAAAAATTTGGTCAAGATAATGACCTTCCATGGGTCTTTGTTTCCTCATTTGTAAAAGGAGATGTTTACAGTAAACCAAAAACAAGAACCAAACTCATTGCCATCGAGTCAATACTGACTCAAAACAAGCTGGGGGTAACACTGCCCTGTGGGTTTCCAAGACTGCAACTGTTAATGGGAGTAGAAAGCCCCATCTTTCTACCATTGTGCTGTCTGGTGGTTTTGAACTGCTGATCTTGCAGGAACAGGCCAGCATCACCATTATGCCATAGAGCTCCTTATGCAATCAATAATATCCTCCCAATTACATCCCTCCTAGAGTTGTGAAAGCTCAGTTAATATGATACAGATTATATATTTAGAATGATAACTAGCACATAGCAAATATCATCTACCATCGTTGTGATCATCATTATGCAACCTATTTAATTCGGCTTCCAGGGATAATTTGTATTTGTTGCACCAATCACCAAGTCTCTCCTAACAAAGTAGAACAATCTGTGTAGTCTACTACATCTCCAAGTTATGATTTATATCACTTGCACCAAATACTACTATTTAACTAGACAGTGGTCTACAGGAGCTTTTGACACATTTAGAATTAAGTTTAAACTGCTGAAATCATGTTTTTACCTTGGTAACTTTTTTGAACAGTGTTTGTATATTAGGTCCAGAGTATTCTCATCCAAGGTGCCTTCAGAGTTGCTTTGCTGTGATACCTCTGCTGCTTCCATCAAGCCTGGTGAGCACTGAGGACGAGCTGCATTGTGATCTCTTCTCTCGCTTTTTGACATTTTGGGCTCCAAGTGATGAAGAATGCTATTTAATTTAAAATTTAAAATCCTCCTGGGTAAGAAATAGAAGCTGGGCATTAATCACAATAATTTACTTATCATGTTCTAAGCCTGGCAGTAATTACTAAATATGAAAGTCCCTTAGACATTAACTCCATTAGAAATGAGAGACTAGAGAAAGACAAAATGATGACTTATTAATAGTTGATGTCTAAATAATTACAAAATAGTTTCATTTTTACTGCCTGATAGAAAACCATTTATAAAACAAAGCTACATGAGAAATATGTTGTTGAAGAAAGTACAGCACATTGCTTTTTCTTTTTTGCCTGTCTTCATCCCTTTCTTTACGTACCTACCTTGCTTCTAATTCTGAAGGGACTGCCAATTACGTGGCCTTATCTTCTAGTCAGAGAAAAGGCTAGCCAATCAAAGTGCCCCATATCCCCAATCAAAAAAAACCAAGCCTACTGCCATGGAATCAATTGGGACTCATAGCGACTCTAAATAAGGTTTTTGAGCCTGTACATTTTTACTGGAACAGATAGCCTCATCTTTTCCCCGTGAAGTACCTGGTTGGTTTGAACTGCCAATCTTGCAGTAAGCAGTCCAGCACTTATGCAACAGAACCACGAGGGGCTCCTTACACTAAACCAAAAACCACTCACTGCCATTGAATCAATTCTGACTCACAGTGACCCTATAGGATAGAGTAGAACTGATTCTGTGGGCTTCCAAGACAGTAACTCTTTATGGGGAGTAAAAAAACTCATCTTTCTCCCATGGAGCAACTGGTGGTTTTGAACTGCCCACCTTGGGGTTAGCAGCAACCCACTGTGTAACAACTACCCTACCGAGAGTCCTGCCAAAGAAGAGCAAACAATAAATAGAATAAATAATGAAGCAATATGATGCTCAGTGGTGTTAAGTACTAAGGGAAAAAGATCATCAGGATTAGCTAGATAGGAAGTATGAGGGTAGAGGGAATTACCATTTTAAATAAGGTGGTTAGTAGTCAGCAGAGTTCTCATTAGCTTGGTCATATATAGGCAAAGTCTTGAAGGAAGCAAGGGAGTTAGCCATGCAGACATCTAGTGGAGTCAGAAGGTCTAAAATAGGCTATGTCTAGCAAGTGTGAGGAAGAGAAAGAGTCTCTGAGTACATAAAGAGGGACAATAGTAGAAAGAGGTCTCAGAGGAGGAAAGTGCACTGTAGTTCCCTGAATGCACCATCCCCGATACCCCTGTGGTTCCTGTTTCCTGTCCTCCTCCTTTCCCCACACTCACTTTGTTCTTATGGAAATGCTGTTCTTAATCTTAAATCATTGACTATTGTATCAGTTTCCAGCCTGAAGTGTCATATGACATGAAGGTCATAATCTTTGGGGTCTCACCTCTCTCTCTCTCCAAACACTAAACTTCATCTGTTTTATGATTTTAAGGGTTTTCAACAGATTTTTCTCCCACTCTATCCAGGACCTTCTAATGTGGTCCTTGGCAGAGCAGTTGGTTGCTACAGCCAGGCACCATCTAGTTCTTCTGGTCTCAGGGTTGTGGAGTATACTTGAAAGTTCCATTAGTCCATTGGACTGATTATTTCCATATGACTTTCCCTTTTAATCACTCTTCTTTCTGCTCAACCAAGATAGACCAAAGACTACACCTCAGATGGCTGCTCAGGAGCTTTTAACACTCAAATCGCGACTTACTCAAGTAGGGTTTAAAACATTGTTTTATTAAACTATGTTGTTCCAATTAAACTTGATGTCCTTTGAGGCAAGGTTCTGATCCCCCAGGCCCAGCAGCTCAAGGGGTTTGGTTATATCTAAGAAGTATTAATAACTTTGCTTCCTTTATGTTCTACCATATTCACAGGTATAGTTACAGCATAGATAATTATGCATATACAAATATCCTTTCAAATCTCTATATATCTATAGATAGAGTCTCATTCTCCTTTCTATTCATATTGAATCTGCATGTCTAAGCACTTACTTGTATCTTAGCATTATTGTAGGATTTTGTATACAACAGTATTTGTCTCTATTGATAACCTCCCAATGTCCTGCCCTGCTTCCATCATATTTTGCCCACCTCCCTCTTGCTGAATATTATCTTCCCTTTTATCCAACTTAACACTTTTCTACCCTCTAGCTTGCCATTTCCTTCTCTCCTTTTCCTTCCTACATCTGCTAGCCATCAGATGAAATCCTATTTCTTTTTGTGTTAAAACCTTTTATTGACTCTTTATAAAGTGGTTTCATAAGAGGGGTACCCCCCAAACGCAGATTTTTTTTCAAAGCTATGCATTTAAATGTTTTTAATAAAACAACCTTATCACCTTTAAAGTATTCTCCAGTACACTTAATACATTTGTCAAATCTGTATTCCATTCTTGGAAACAGTTTTCAAACTCATCTGTTTAGATGGCTGATAGCATATCCCTTGTTTTTTCTTCACCTCCTCTATGTCATCCAATTGCTGTCCTTTCATGTCTCTCTTCAGTCACAGAAACAAAAAGATGTCATAGAGAGAGAGGTAAGGTGTGTAATGCATGGGGCAAGAAAGATATGCTGGGCTTTTGGGGGGGTTTTTGCACAAAACTGGCACATTGAGATGGCTCCATGAGCAGGTGTATTGGTGTGGTGGCAAAATCAGTCCCCTGTCTGCCACATGGATTGTGATAAGTGTTGTACAAACCCCCAATAATTTTTTTTTTAAGAATATAGCCTAAGCTATTTCCCGATTTATTATTGCTTATTTATTTATCAGCATATGATTCATATATTATACAATTGAATAGTTAAATCATATTAAGAAGAGTTGTATAATCATGACCACAATCAATTTTAGAACATTTTCTTCTTTCTTGTAGTTATTGTTGTTAGCTCCTCATTTCCTTCCAATCTTCCCTGCCATGTCCCTAGGTAATTATTAATCCAGTTACTGTCTCTATAGATTTACCTATCCTGGACTTCATATACAGAAAAATGTACAAAATAAAATCATGAGGAAAAAAAATACCCAACAACAATGACAAAATAAAACAGAAACGTTTCAATTGAGAAGAAAGCATAAAATATTAAAAACTGGAATGAATTTTAAATGGCCAAAAAGGGAGATCAAAAAATAAAATGCTACATCTTAACTTCATATGCCAGAACCCACTTAACAATGTTCTATATCTGCTAGCAAGGCTATTCACATTCCTAGACTATGGGCACACGAGATTCACTGGAAGCTTAATCCACATGGGGACCCTGCAAGTGAATTTTGAGCTTCCACTATCATCCATAACCTGGTATTCAGAATTTAAACTCTGATACTGTTCCATCCTCCAAATTTGAACATTATTGCTCTTAATCTTTAAGGAGTCTGTGTCACACAATAAAACAAACATGATCATCAAAGATCATATTAAGGATCCTCATTAAATAAGAAAGTACAATTCTATAATTGCATAAGTATCTATGTGGTCCACCAAAGACTAATTTTATTATTTTTTGCTTTTTAAAAGATGATGCCCAAGGTCTTTGATTTTATCTCTGTAAAAATGTTTTCACTTTAAAGAAGAATCAAAGGTATTTTCTATTCTAGTAGCTATTTCAAGGCTAAGTCTCATTGCCATCATATTGATTTTTACTCAGAGAGGCCTTAGGACAGAGTTAGCACTTTATAACTGTAAATCTTTATACAAGCAGAAAAATTTATCTTTCTGCCTCAGAGTGTCTGATGGGTTCAAACTGTTGACCTAGTGGTTAGCAGCCCAACTGTAACCCACTAAACTACAAAGACTCCCTTCTTTGAAGGGTAAATCGGCCTTCTTATTTCTGAAATCCGGTTTTCTTTTCCCAAGAGATAATACAGGGGAATTATTGCATTTCCAAGTTCTAGACTCATTAGGCTTTCAAGTTAAATTGAAAGATAAAGGAGAGCAAGTGAACTCCTTGCATCTTATGCAAAGTGACTGTCCTTAGGTAGTTCCCAAGAGAAAAAAGACTACAGTTGAGTTGGTTCTGCATTATAAAAATCGATCCCCAACAAAACTACTCTGGGGAAAGGAGATCAGGGAGGAAAATGATTGGAGTGTGTGTGTGTGTGTGTGTGTGTGTGTGTGTGTGCCAGTGCACAGACAAGTGTGAGATTGACTTGATAGGCTGTCAGTAAAGATCTGTCAGACTCAGTAAAGGGCACTGTATTTGAGCTCAATATTACAGGTATTAGATTATTTTTCTTCAAAGATCAGGCCAAGTTGGCCTGGGAATGGAGAGACTTCCTGGAAGCATGGACCGGCAGAGTACGAATGTAGATTTAATGGTAGCAGTGATCAGTAGGTGTGTGCCAGAAAGAAGCTATGGCAACAGCAAAAACACCTGGAATACCAAGAGACCAACAGACTGACAACAGAGTATTTCTTTGCTTGAGAGATGGCACCTGGAGGAACTCTCTTTTGAACTCCGTTAGCTCCTAAGGTTCCATAGGACATAGGATGCTCAAAGAGTAGATGTACTACTTGCCACCAGATTTGTACATAGAAGAATAAAATAAATATAATTCACATCCCTAAATGTTTCAGAAGAATTTACACCTATTATAATTAAAAAGATCATGTCTTTTCCTGGCACTTTTTAGGTATGTAATATTTAGTGTCACAACTTTTTTTTCCTAATCATTTTATTAGGGGCTTAGTGTTACAACTTTGTAAGTTTCAATATTCTCATGTGAAAAAATTATTTTCATGGATGAAGAAAATGCACCCAAGGGCAGTTTAGCACCAATGAAATACACAACACTCCTCCAGTTCTTTAGTTCTTCCCTCCCTCACTATTATGATCCCAGTCCTACCTCCCAAATCCTACTAGACCAGTGTACATACAAGGGCACAAATGAGAGCTTTCGATATACAGAATTCAGGAAAGACTGCTTTGAATCAGTTATGGAAGTAAAGATTCCAGGAGGGTAGAGGAAGAGAAGGAGGAACGGATAGCAATATGAT